TGTTATGAAACAGCTGCTATAATGTTAGAAGATTCCTTGTGGATCCTGATGTCTCAGGATTGTCTGCAGATGCCACAGAATTTTCTAAATGCCTTTGTAGATTTGGGAAATTTAGCTATCCACTTTCAAGATCTTTTTGCAAACCTGCAGTTTTCTCTTAAGTGTTTCACATCACAAAACATCCTTTCTGCTGTTTTCTGTGCACCTTGTGTATTTTGCTCAGTGCACTGAGGTCTAGAGTGAAGTCTGTGAAGAACATGAGGTTGCTGAGTGAGGCCATATCTACGAACTGTGAACATTCCTGCCCTTTTTCATTTGTAAGCAGCTGGCTACAAATCTCCAGGACTTGCCCTCTACTTGGCCACTGGCCATTATTATACATAACTGAAGTATTACACTGTGCCAAGACCTCATCCAAAGGTGCTTCAAATGGCCAGAAATTAAGAGCATGAGCTATGGTGTACTTCACCCATTTCTAGGACTTATGAAGACATCGTCTCATTTTTTGCTGCTTTCCACAGCACAGAGAGCTTCTTGCTGTATAAGACACAGAACCTGGATGTCTGAATGAAAACAGACATTGCCCCCACCATGCGCCGTGCCCTGTCACTTGTAATGGAAACTACTTCTTCTGGTCTTTATCTTGTAACAAAAAAGTCTCTGTTACATTGTAGATGTCCATCCCTTGTCTTATTCCAGGAAAGGACATGAATTTCACCAGTTCTTCTCTCATGACACCACCAATAACATAATGCAAAATTACTGCTAGCCTCATAGAATTATGTACTTGTGCTTTCATCCAAGCACAGGGAGTAGCAACTGGCTGCCTTTGTGAGTCACTATGAGCGTCCCTTGCACAGAACTCAGTCTTTAGCAGTATTTCTGCTAAGCCACACCTCAGAGATCTACTGCACAGTTTTATCCTTGTTTGGGAAATTATGAAAAGGGCAGTTACTCCCAGATAACATGGCCATTTGCTTTAGAAAGATGGTTGCAAAAACTAAGATACAGGGAATGTCCTCAATTTCCCTTGAAACACTTTGCTTTTAGCTCCACCAAGTTTGGCACCACTCTTGGGGTTGGTGTCAATGTGCTGACACAAGCAATACGCGGTGCCCTCGCTGCACAGGATACGTAATGCTTTCTCATGGCTTGCCTCTGTCTGGCCTCTTGGGATGATCTTCCACTGTTTGTTTTTGATAATACTTTCTTTGCTGTATTTTTTGGTATCCAAAACTTGGAGTCTACAAAAACACAAAATTTTTTAAAAATGAAGCACCCAGTACAAATCTGTCCCTATACAGGTTAGCTTAAAGAATTGGATATTCCCTGAATCAAAAATCTGTGGCAGTGATTCCCAGCTGGGTTTCTCTTAAATTTGATGGCCACCAGAATAAGGGGACAATGTTCCACTGACCACCAGCTTTTGGCCTGCTCTAAAAGAGGCATCTGAGCACATTTCCTTCCTCATGAGGACTTCTGCTAAAATCATAGCCAGTCCAAGCAATATATGTTCTTGCTCCAGTTTTTATAAATTCTTTATAAACAACTAATTATGATACTGTGATGCTGCAGATTCAGATATATCAGAGGAACAGCACATCAAAAGAATTTCATTCTCTTAATTAGAGCATCTCTGTTTCTCTCTCTCTCTCTCTCTCTCTCTCTCTCTCTCTCTCTCACACACACACACACACACACACACACACACACACACACTTGGGACCTTGAGCTTGCCAGGCAAGTCCTTATGCCTCTGAACCATATCCCTGGCTAGAACATCTCTTTGCTAACTCTTAGATATTAAATTTCAGTTTTTCATAAGAAAACAAAGCTAAAATCTTGTGTTAATGAATGTATTAAAACACTGTGGCTGGCCGTGTCAAGGTTTGGCTGCATCACACTGAGAGTCCTGGCCCGTGATGTCATCATCTGGCACTTGGTGGCCTCTGTGATGCCGGCTGCTGGGGCAGTGCTGAGGTGACTTGGCTCCTGTGCTGGCAGTGAGGGCCTGCATGCCCACGGGAGCGTGTGTGCTGCAGGTCCACTATACTGAGTTCCATCTCCAGCCTTTATTTTTTGAGGCAGGTTCTCACTAAGTTGCTAAGTTGCTTAGGCTGGCTTAAACTTTTAGTCATCCTGCTGTAGCCTCCCAGAGTGCTGGGATTACGCACGTGACTTCCCAGCTCACGAATACCCATACATATTAATACATATGCAAGTACATAAATATATTACATAATCTGTGCATTATCATGATCACCATGATCTTAAATAAGAGAAGTGTGCCTATATACTTGTTTGTTCCAATTATCATATAATTTTATAATAATATCCTCTTTTCTGTGTTATTTTTATTTTTTAATGTATTTGGTACAGGGTCTCACTGCACAGCTTGGACTTGTAGTGATCCTCCTGTTTTCAGCCTCCCTAACACTGGCATTGCAGGTGTGCACCACCTTGCCCAGTCTTGGTGGCCAGCTGCCTGGGACTGGGCCAGTGTGGCGTGTGGAGCCGGAGATCGAACCCCGGTCCCTGTGCTTGCCTAAGCAGGTGCTTAGTCTGCTGAGCTATCTTGCTAGCTCTTGTTTTTTATGTTTTAATTTGATGTTCATTAGTACTAATTTTGGTTCTTGCTTTTGAGTTTTGTTTCTGGTAGCTGCTATAAGCCAGTTTCTCAAATATAGTGGCTTGCAGTGATAGAAATAGATCATTTCACAGTCCTGGAGGTGAGAGCCCAAAATTAGTTTCACTGAATCAAAATCAAGATGTCAGTAGGGCATGATCTCTCCATGGGTTTTGGAGGATTTGTTTCTTGACTCTACCAGCTTTCAGTTCTTCTCTCCTTCACTTGTTGCCACAGCATATCCGTGTCTGCCTGCATCCTCACATCCCCTTCTCTTTCTGAATATTTTATTCTTTTATGTATTTAGTACAGGGTCTCACTACACATATTGGACTCATAGTGACCCTCCTGTTTTTTAGTGGAGCATACCACCACACCCAGTCTCAGTTGCAATCTCAGCATGGCAGGCCAGGCATTGAACCCTGGTCCCTGAGTCTGCCTAAGCAGGCACTTTAGTCTGCTGAGCCATCTGGCCAGTCCTCATTCTGTATGTTGAGTCTTTCTCTACCTCTTTCTTGTAAGGTCTGGTGAAGACTTACGGCAACCAAAGAGACAGTGTAGGAGCATAGTACGTATTCCACCTGCCAGATCAGCTAAAATGGACTTGACTATAGTCAGTCCGACTCCAAAGTTAGGACCAGACAGAAAATGAAGTTACTGAACCTTTATTTGAAGTTGCTACAGTGAAGGACTGGGGAGATAGCTCAGTGGCTTAGGTATCTGCCTGGCAAGCATAAGGTCCTGAGTTCGATCCCTGGTACCAAAATAAATAAAAAATAGTTACAATGGAGCTTTTGATGTGAGAGCTGCTGTTGGCAGTCAATAAAAGCAACACATTCAAGGCTCTGTTTTTATAAGTCATATATCTCCTTTTACATTGTGAATGACTCTGTTTTGATCCCTTTACTCTTCAACTAACCAAATGTAGAAGTCCTCCTGCTCTTGGTAGAACAGAATAATGTTTAAAAGCCTCTCTGGCTAACTAGAAATCTCTAATTAAAGTGAGGACCAAGCAAATGGTATACTGTCAGAAAACAGGATTGGTGGTAGAGGTCTTTTCTTTAATTTCTAGCTCATTATTAAATCATAAAGTATTTAGTTCTGTCTGTAATGTATAGCTATATTTCCCCTTTAGGGAAAATTGATAGCATTAAAATTTCTTTTTTTTCTTTCTTTTTTTTTGGTATTTTTTAGGGAAGGATCTACAGGGTGTTCAGGGTCTCACAACTAGATTGGACTCATAGTGATCTTCCTGTTTACAGCCCCCCAAGTGCTGGGATTACAGGCACGCACCACCGTGCCCAGTCTCAATCGCCATCTCAGCATGCCCCGGGGCGGGGCTGGCATGGCAAACCCGGGAATTGAACCCCTGGCCCCCCCACCTACTTGCAGGCACTTGAATCCTCTGAGCTAGCTGGTTGGCCCTCATTAAAATTTCAACAAATGGGTAGAAGTGGCCCAGACTTTGGCATAATTTCTCTAAGTAGTATGGTGATATGCTTGTGCTTTGCCTAATGCAGTGCTTATCCTAAAAAATGGTACATGGTTCATTTCCATCCCTTCCCCAAATGAGACAGAAGTTACAGATTTGAGAGATAAAATAGGCTGTGCTTCTCTGGATGACAAAATCAAAATAGGTCTATATTGAGTTTACTAGATAGAGATAAGGAATAAACACAAACGAATTGGTTTTGTGGGGTTTATTTTTTATAATGTGTGTGTTTTAAGTTAATTTAGGAAGTCTTCCTGAAGGAAGGTAGATCTCAGAAAAGACCTTTAAATAACTATAGGTTTTTTTTGGTTCTTTTTGGAGGGAGGTATATTGTGAATTGAACTCAGGGCCTTGCGCTTGCTGTGCAGGCACTGTGTCACTGTGCCTCATCCCTGGCCCTGCAGTTTTCAAATACTGGTGTTGAAGGGATTTGTGTAAATGAGGAAAGGAAAAGTTTGAGGGGAACTAGAACTAGACTTTTCTAGCAAAGAGTGATGAAATCCATTAGACCTGCAAGGACCAATTGGAGAAATAGTTGTTGAAAAGATGAGTAGAAGGTAGGGAATGTGACTGTTCAATAATTTCAGGTGTATTAATTTATACTTTAAGTTCTGTATATACGTAATATAAACTGTATATTATTTTAGAAATGGAGTTAACAGTCCTTAAATCAACGTTTGAAGTTATCAAGTTATTATCTTAGAATAACGGCAATCATGTCATTAAACACTTTCAGCAGATCAAAGTTTCCTAACAAGTAATCCTCTTGTCGTAGGTCTGGCAGTTTTTAATAATAGGGACTTGTTTTCCTGTTGGAACATTTAGTGCACTTGGTGTTGACTTTAACCTGTTTTGTTTTCTTTCTTTCCTTTTCGATGGTAGCTTAGTCAGACCATGAAACTGGCCCGTCACCGGCTGGCATCTTTTAAAACTGTGAGTGGAAAAATGGCAGCTGTGTTTCCAAATGATAAAAGGAAAGCCTCTGCTGTCCAAGAGGTAAATTAATTTCCAGTGCATTCTTTGTAAAAAAAAAAAAACAGGTAAAAAATAACAGAGAAACTTTAGTTGAGCAAAGTCTATAATTTCACATTTTATTTTAGTAATTTGTTTGATCACCATGTCATTTTGAGATTTTAGAAATTACCTGGAAAACCTATAGTGTTGCTGTTGCTTAACATTCTATATTTGGCATCTGTCTTTTCTTTTAGAAAGTAAAATTCAAAAATCCATTATTTGTTGTGATGGAAGAGAAAAAACAAAGTCAGTGGCACTGTCAGGCTCTTGAGAATCTTCCACCAGGATCCCAGGGTGATGTGATGGAAGTCCAGACTGTTGGGCCTGAAGCTCAGACTGTTGGGCCAGATACTCAGGCTGTTAAGCTGGCAGTTCCATCTGCTGAGCCAGGAAGCCAGGTCATTGAGCCAGAAGGCCAGGCTATTAAGGCAGAAACTCAGGAAGTGATGTTAAAAACTTGTAATATCAAGCTAGAAGATGAAAATATTGAGTTGGAAACACAGGATTTTGTACCCCTAAATCAAGCCTTTCTACCTAAAGACCAAGGTATTCTACCTAAAGACAACTGTGTTTTCCCTGAAGGTCAGAGTACTCTACACAAATATCAGGACCAGAATTTCCTATGTAGAAACCAACATGTTTATTTAAAAAAACAGGATATTCTACTTAAATGTCAGGATAAGGATTTTCTACCAGAAGACCAGAATTTTCTTCTTAGAGACCAGTGTGTACTTCCTAAAGACCAGGAAGACTTTCTACCTGAAGACCAGAGTTTTCTACCCAGAGACCAGTGTGTTCATCCTCAAAGTAAGAATATTCTACCTAAACATCAGGACCAAGATTTTCTACCAGAAAGCCAAGAATTGTTCTCCAAAGATCACAATATAATACCCAACTCTCAAGACCAGGATTTTCTTTGCAAAGAGCAGAGTGTTCTCCGTAAAGACCAGAATACTCTAGGCAAATGTCAAAAACAAGAATTTCCATCTCAAGATCAGGTAAAATAGAGTAGAAAGGAGATTGAAAGAGAAGAAATGAGCTACTGAGGGTTAGCTACTTAGAGCTACTTGGAGTGGGATTTGTAAGGATTATATTGTAGCTCATTTAGAGATGCATAGTTAGAAAATAGTTCCTTGATTGGTTTCTTAAAGCTCTAGGGTTCATACTGTGTTAAAGTATTATCAACACATATTACCCTATCTGGACAATTTACTTTCTTATTTTCTTATTTTTAATCTTCATTAGGGACACTTTCTGTCAGCCAAGCTCTGCTTTGACAGCTAAAAGATGGAAAAGGGAGTGGCCCACAAGTACCCAGCAGCATCCTTCACACAGGGTCCAAGGTCACCCTTTCCCCAGAGATCAGTTAGAGCTAAGCCAAGAAGGGGATCAGCAGGAAGTAAGTTACTTAGGGTGTGGCTGGGCAAAGAGGCCCTTATTCTCTGACCGATAGTTAATTCCAGGTTTCTCCCTGAAGCCTGAAGTTTTATGTTTATTTGTCATTCATAAGTGAACAATTAATGTTTCATGTTTTTTTTTTTAGAAAGCAGATTTGAAGCAGCCATCATCCATTCTGATGGTCAGACAAGGGAAGGAGGGTGTTCCTCTGGATGCCCTTCAGGATCTGCGCAGGCATCATCAGGGCTCCTCCAAGGACAAGGTAGAGCAGGAACGGGATGGAGATCGGCAAAAATGGAACTGCTGGGGTTGAGTTTGGAGCTTACAAAGACTTAAACTAAATTTCAGATCTGGCAAAAAGCATTGTTTCTGTTTTACTCGATAATAGTTCATTTTGTCCTGAGCTAAATTGTCCTCAGTTTCTCCACAAAGCCTATGTCCAAAGTACTGCTACTGGATACGTGCGCATGTGTGTGTTTAGAAAATCCACTTTAGAAAGGATCCACGGGGCTGGTGAGATGGCTCAGTGGTCTGGGGCACCTACTTAGAACAAGCTTAGCAAAGCACAGGGACCGCGGTTCAATCCCCCAACACCACATGCCAGCCAGCCCCACCCCCTGGTGGGCTGAACTGGCCACACACACACACACACACACACACACACACACACATAAATAACTAAAATAAATTTAAAAAAAATAAATAAAAAAAAGGATCTGCTCTGATATGACACATGAGAAAGGGAGAGAAGACTTCTCTGCCAGGTTATCAGTATCTGCTTCCCAAGCCCCAATTCCAGAACTTCAGAGAGCAAATAGAGCAACATAAAATCAGATAAAGAAATGGAAAATAGAGTGGCGGGATTTTATAAATTCTAAATAACTAGCAATTTGGAATGTAGAATCAGGAACCTTAGGGCTAAGCTAAAAGTATATCTTGATTCCTTCTCATAGTAGTAGGATGATAGTCCTACATACTCCAACCACACTTTAGGAAAGACACGTAGGGCGTTTAGCCCTGATCACCTCAGTTCCTATTGGTCTTCTCTTTTTTTTCATGTACCCCACACTGAATGACACAGGAGACTTTGTTTCACTGAGCTGTAAAAATGAAATCATTTCTGCCATTTGACAGGCTGATATCAGACTGTTTCAATTTGCTGTGATTGTTCTCCCACTCTCACTGAATCCCGCAGTATTGCCACTGTCATACTTTCTTAGGCGTTAGGAAAAGTAGCGCTTGTAGCTCATGCCTATAGTCTTAGTACTCCCGGAGGCTGAGGCAAGAGGATTCCAAGCTTGAGTGCAGCCAGGGAAATTTAGTGACTTGGTGAGAGCCTGTCTTGAAACAAAAAGTGCAGATGGGTGGGGACGTGGCTTTAGGCCCTGGAGCAATCCCTAAAGTGGGGTGGAAAAAAGATGGCTAGTTTCTCAGACGATTCTGAGTTGGTTTGGGTCATTTTTTTTTTCTTTTAGGGGTGTTCAGGGTCTCACTACTAGATCAGACTTGTAGTGATCCTTCTGTTTACAGCCTCGCAAGAGCTGGGATTATAGGTGCGTGCCACTACGCCCAGTCTCGGACTTGATTTTGGATTCAGGATCAAACTACAAAGTTGGGTTCAAAGTGTAGTATCTTTACACATCTCAAAACTTATATAGTTGGGGGTTTTTTTTGGTCTTTTTGAGATAGGATCTCACTGTGCAGTTCAGCCTGGCCTTGTGCTCACTTTGTAGCCCACGCTGGTCTTGAACTTGCAACTGTCCTCCTGCCTCAGCCGTTTGACACCATATCTGGCTACTCTTCTCAAAACTTGTAAGAATATTCTTAGCTGGTATCCTTGCTGCAGGCTGCAAAAATTGGCATATTACCCTGGCAAGTTATTTGTTTTGTTTTTGTTGTTCCTTTAGGACAGGTTTCTCAACCAAACCTCATCTTTTACGACAGAAGAAAGAGTAAGAGAGCAGTTGCCTTTGGAGTATCATCAGTATGTTCCACCTAAGATCCAACACAAATCCTCCTCTAGACAACAGGTAGGGCAGCAGAGAAAAGGTGTGATCAAAAATATGATGAATGTTTAAATTTTTTAAAAAATTACAATAAAAGATACATTCTCACTTATCTATCTCAAAATAGCCCCCCTTGCTTTGCACATACTCTTTGCATCATTCTTAATACTCCCTGAAGTAGCTCTTAAAGTTCTCTTTCATGAGTGTCTCTAGTTTTGCTGTGTGGTTGCTTCATTGCTCTGATTCATTCTGAAGTCAGTCTTTTATGGTCATTTGGACTTTGGAGATGAGCTAGAGGTTGCACAGTGCTGTTCTGGTAAGGTGGCAAGAACACACTGTCATGTCTCTGCTTGGCAGAAATCGATCTCAATGTTGGATTGGTTCAAGGCCTTCCAGATATATCCTGAATGTTTAGATTAAGAAATTTATTATGGTGAAAGACACATTGCTAATAGTCCTCCTCACTTCAAACACACTTAACATTCTTGGTAATGTGTCTTTTACTCTAACAAGAATTTTATAAATCGAAACATTCACCATCTTTTGATCACCCCTTACACTTTGTAAATGAGAAATAAGACTAAATACTTAAGATTGGACTGAAGTTTTATCAGACTAGCTTGTATATAGATTATATAGATTTAAGACCCCCAGAGTTAAACACAAGTGAGAGGAGAAAGAAATTATTTCCATAGTGTTCTGTATATGCTTTACATGAAACCCAGGATCCTGGTTCTACCAGAGCAGGTAGAGCACAGCACAGTAAAGAGTAAGTAACAGGAAATAAATGTGTGAGTTTGGGCTGGGCTGTCAGAGCTTTGTTACTAACAGATGATGGTGGTTCTGTTACCTCTTAGCGCTATTAGCAAGACTGTTACCATAAATACGATTGTTTTCATTGGGCACTTATAACCACAATGGTTTTACAAGTTTGAATTCATATATCATTTGATTCTTGCAATTAATCTGGAAGATAGATACTAATATATTTCTTTCATAAATGAAATTTAAGATTGCTTGGGTAGAATTAAGATTCATAAGAACAGCCAAAAAGTATACTGGCTACTTTTATACCATAATATGTAAGAATATTCTGACCCATTTAGATTACTTCAGGATTATTACCGAAACTTACAGCATTATTACTACAGTTATGTCATTACCCATAATTTGATAAGTGCTTTCGGGTGTTTTAGAGTTTACATGCTATGCAGAAAGTGTCTACTGGGACAGCTGAACAACTGCGAGAGGATTTGCGTGTGGGTGACCATCAGCTTCTTGCATCCAAGGACCAGAGGGGCCCTTGGAGTGGACAGCAGGTACAACAGCATCAGAGTGTGGGAGTGGCACTGAGATGCCGTTATAGGTATCTGCTCAGCTGAGAGGGGCAAGGCTGCTCTCAGGACAGATTCCTGTTAAACTTTTAGTTCTTATTAATTTTTATTATTTGCCGTGCACAAGTGGTTATGTTCATCATGGGGAGTTGGTCCGTGTGCATAATGCATCATAATCCTTTCCATTCCCTCCCTTTTTCTGCCCACCCTCTATCTTTTGGTCTCCTCTCCATTTGCAAGGTGTGTCTGCTTCCTGTTGTCTTTTATTTTCATCTTTAATTTACATATATTTTGGCTGTCTCACTTAAGAGAAACCATGCAGTATTTCAGATTGTGTGTCTGATTTATTTTGTTTAACATTAGTCTTTTTAAGGGCCGGGGAGATGGCTCAGTGGAATAAGTGCTTCCCTGGCAAGTGCAAGGGCCTGAGTTCAGTCCCTGGTTCCGTAAAAAGAAAACATTAGTCTTTTTTTTTTTTTTTTTTTTCTTTTTTTGCTGTTTTGAGACAGGGTTTCACTATGCAGTTGTGGCTGGCCTTGAACTCACTTTGTAGCCCAGGCAGGCCTCAGGCTCACAGGCCTACCCTCCATGCCCAGTCTCAGTGCTGTCTCAGTGTGCCCAGGGGGTGGAGCCAGCACGGCTTATAGTGCTGGATGTTGAACTCATACTTTGGGTTATCATTTTCAGCCCCAACAGTATCCAGAGCAATCTACAAATTTAACGCTTACCAAAACACAAAGCATTTTTTCACAAACACAAAGGTCCTTCTTGAAATTAATGTTGGCTGTCAAGGGACTACAAAGAATCAGTTGGCCCCTGCACTCTGCCTTAGTAGGCCCTTTAGTCCGCTGAATTATCTGGTCGGCCCTAAAAATTTTTTTTTTAACATAGTTCGATTTTTTAATTTCTTAAGTTGTTATCAGTATATATTTGCAGTATGTAATGATTCCATTCATCATGAGGAGTTGGCATGTGTGAGTGACGCATCTTAATTCTTTTTATGTCCTCTTACCTTACCCTCCTCCCCTCTTCATCTCTTGGTCCCCTTCTTTTTTTAAAAAATTTATTTATTTTATTTATTTATTTATTTGTGTGTGTGTGTGTGTGTGTGTGTGTGTGTGGCCAGCTCAACCCGCCTGGGGGCGGGGCTGGCTGGCATGTGGTGCTGGGGGATTGAACCGTGGTCCATGTGCTTTGCTAAGCTTGTTCTAAGTAGGTGCTTTAGACCACTGAGCCATCTCACCAGCCCCTGGTCCCCTTCTTGTTCTATTTTGTTACCTATGCTTTTGAATATTTAAGAAATTGCCAGATCCGGTTTCAGATAGCCTTTCTCCTGTGTTTTCTTCTAAGAGTTTTATAGTTGTAGCTCTTATGTTTATGTCTTTGATGCATTCTGAGCTACTTTGTGTGTGTGGTATATGGTAAACATCCAGTTTTATTCTTTTGCATATGATATCCATTTTTCTAATACTAGTTTTTGAAAAGGCTGACTTTTTCCCATTGAGTGGTCTGTACTCCCTTGTCCAAAGCATTTAGTGGGTTGGCAAGGTAGCTCAACTGACTTAAGTGCCTGCTTAGGCAAGTGCAGGGCACCACATGCCACACCGGGCAGGCCACCGAGACCAGGGATGGAGGTGCATGCCTGTAATCCCAGCACTGGGGAGGCTGAAAGCTAGAGGATCACTTGAGTCCAAGCTGTGTGATAAGAATCTGTACAAAATATATAAAAACAAGCCAAAAAAAAGATAAAAGCATTTAGACATCTATGCAAACATTTATTTTTAGACCTTCAGTTCTGCCCCATAATTAGTATGTCTTTTTTCCGGTACTGTACTGTTTTGATTATTGTAGCCTTGTAATGTTCTGAAATCACGATGTGTAAGACCTTTATCCTTCTTTTACACGACTGATTCAGACCTTTATCCTTCTTTTACACGACTGATTCTTTGTAGTCCCTTGACAGCCAGTATTAATTTCAAGAAGGACCTTTGTGTTTGTGAAAAAATGCCATTGTGATTTTGGTAAGCGTTATGTTGAATTTGTAGATGGCTTTGGATACTATTGGGACTGAGAATAGTACTCCAAAGTATGTTACTTTGGGACTCAGAAGCAAGCCAAGAAAAAGGAGAAAATTAGTCAGGCTTGGTGGTACATGTCTGTAATCCTAGCATTCTGCAAAACTGAAGCAGGAGGATCACTACCCTGGGGAACTGAGCAAGGCCCTACCTCAAAGTAGAAAATACAGAAAAGCTGGGAGGAGTAGTTCACTGTGAAGGCCCCCGGTTCAATCCTAGTTCCCCCACCCCAAAGACTTTGAATTTGTGTGTCCTTCTGTCACCTGTTCCCCTTTCTGCACCCTCAAACAAACCATAAGCCATAGAGATTAGAATATTTCTTTCCCAAGCCAGGTCACAGAAAGTAGAACCACTGTTCCTCCAAGCAAGTCAGTAAGACTAAAAATATTACTCTAATCTTTCCAAGCCTCTGTTTCTTAGAGGTAGAGATAAGGAAATTCTCTGACATACATGGTCTTAGAAAAAAATCCTAAGTCCTCTGTCCTATGCAAGAGGAAGCAGTGCAGTACAGAATGACCGAGGACAATCTGAACAGATAGGTCTTTCTTAGTTTTTTTACTCAGTCAGTATGTTAGCATTAGATCATCCTCTTCAGTCATTTCTTTTTTTTTTTTTCAAAGTTTTATTGATAAACAGCAATGAGACAGTTTCAAATCAAATCGTAAGTACAGTTTCAACAAATAATGCACTGCATATATTCTTCTTAGTGGTTCTCTCTAGGTCTTGATTCTAAAAGCTTTTTTACTGTGATTAAATACATTCATTATGGGCCGGGGAGATAGCTCAGTGGAATAAGCACTTCCCTGGCAAGTGCAAGAGCCTGAGTTCAATCCCCGGTTCCACAAAAAATAAATAAGTCCATTCATTGTGCTTTGCTCTGCTCTGCTTTTGTTTTTCTTTTTTCATTAACCTGCCTTTTGTTACAGAAGTTGGCCGTGTCCGTTAGGAAATGAATGCATCTATCACATCACCCTTCTCTTCCCCTACAGAAGTCAGTTAGTTAGTTAGTTAGTTAGTTAGTTAGTTAGTTAGTTAGTACAGGGCCTCATTATGTAGCTTGGACTTGTAGTGATCCTTCTGTTTCTGGTGCTGGGATTGTAGGCATGTGCCATCATGTGTGGTTTGGGTGGCAGGCTCAGAGCAGGGCTGGCACAGCATAAGGTACCAGAGGTTGAACCTGGGTCTTTGTGCTTGCCAGGCAGGCATTCAGAGCACTGAGTTATCTCCCTGGCTACTGTTGAGTTTTAGCAATAGTTCTGATCCATGAAAATAGGATGTATTTTCACTTAATAGTGTCTCATTTCTTTCAGCAATGTTTTGTAGTAAATCTTTTGCCTCATTCATTCATTAAGTTTATTGCTAAGTATTTTATTCCTTTTGATGCTATTATAAGTGGTTTTCTTCAATATTCTTCTAGATTATGCATTGTAAAGAGCTATTGTTTTTGTTTTTTAAATGTTTCTGGGGATAGAATCGAGGGCTTCACACATGCAAGGCCAGCACTTTCTCACTGTGCTACAATTTTGTGACCCTCTTTTTATTACAGTGTTTAGTCATGGCCTCTTGCATTTTGGGATCTCACAGTCTTCCTGTTTGGGAGCTTGGGTGACTCACCAGAGTTTTAGGATCTTTTATAGGGGTCCTATTGCATTTTGGGTCTTGGCTGACCTTGAAGGGCATTAGATCTATTGATCATTTTGGGAAGTACTGCCAGCTCAACAGTATTTAGTCTTCCAAGTCATGAAGGTGATAGATCTTTTCATTTATTTAACTGTCTTTTAATTTCTTTCAACAATGGTTTCAGAGTATAAAATTTATGCTTCCCTTGTTAAATTTATTACTATTTTATTTTTATAGTATAAATGGATTTTTTCTTAATTTTATTTTCAGAGTATTCATCACAAGATTAGAATTAGTTGGTTTTTGCGTATTCATTTTATATCCTGCCACATTACTGAAAGATAAATAACTTTTAAAGAGATAAAACAATTTTAAACTTTATTTTTAGAAGTTAGCAACCGTAATTTGAGCTGTGTAAGATAAGCTGTATATACAAGAATGTATACCACCTTATGTCACAAGGCTTTTATTATTTGTTCATTCATGTTTTTTCTCTGAAACCTTTTCTTTGGCTTATTAAGATTTTATTTGTTTGGATGACTGGTTAAGACCTTCTGAAAGGTCTTTTCATTCTTTTTTGCTTTTATTCTTACATGCTTTTTTGCTTGTTTGCTTAATGCAATCGAGTTAAGATTGCAGAAGAAGAGGATGATTTTGTCATTTTGTGTGACTGGACTTTCTAACAGGTTTATAAGTATCAGTCAGGATTGAGTGCTGAATTCCAAGCTTCACTGGACATTCATTCTGGAATGGATCTAGAAGAAGAAAAGAAAGAGGTATGTGATGGTGTTGCTTTGAGCAGAGGTATTTCTACACTGATGATACATGTGACACTGGAAAGTTTCCTACACCTTAATGGATTAAAAAGTAGTTCTACAAATTCCAGACAAGTTGCCTGAGTCATTATAATTCAGGTTGTAATAAAAAGACATGGTGGGTGCTGGGGAGATGGCTCAGTGGAATAAGCACTTCCCTGACAAGCTCAAAGGCCTGAGTTCAATCCCCGGTTCCTCAAAAAATAAATAGATAGATAGATAGATAGATAGATAGATAGATAGACAGACAGACAGACAGACAAACATGGTGAACGTTTAAGTTAAAAAACATTTTCATAGTAAATAACACATTGCTGTTGATCCCAATTAGAATGTTTCCTCTTGCTTCAGACATAGCTTATCCCATCTTTTTTGCCACTTTCTGAAGCAGTTCTGCAAGTTGTTTCTCCCCCCCCCTTAATTTTATTGAGAAACAAACAGCAATGAGACAGCTTCAAACCAAATTGGCAGGACAGTTCCAATAACCAACACACTGCATACTGCAAGTTGTTTCTTGAGTGTACTGTTTTTAGTTGCATTGTTGTGGCTGTTTCTATGTAAGGCTATCACTTCAAAATGTTTAGCTAGCATGGTCATTTTTTTAAGAGTTAGAGGGAAAAGTTTGGGCTGGGGATTGGCTCAGTGGCATAGCACCTGCCTAGCTAGTGCAGGGTTGTGAGTTCAATTCCTGGTACCAAAACATATACCATAGATAGAAGGAAAAGTTTGTTTTAGAACACTAAAAATGCAATTTATCTGCTGTCTAAACTAACGTGGATTAATCTTGACCCAGAGATTTTTTTTTTTTTTTTTTTTTTTTTTTTTTTTTTTTTTTTTTTTTTTTTTTTTTTTTTTTTTTTTTTGTGGTACCTGGGACTGAACTCAGGACCCTGTGCTTGCCAGGCAGGCACTTATTCTACTGAGCTATCTCCCCAGCCCTCCGGAGATGATATTGACAGTAATTTTCAAACTATTGTACTTTCCCTCCAGTCTTCTTCACTAAAACAACCTTTTAAAAATAAGTGTTATTCAATGTAAACATTATTGCCTGTTGGAAACCCTCATTGGTTTTCTGTTGCTGAAGAGTAAAATTTGTGCTCCTCAGTTTCATGTCCAAGTGTGTGAGTTATTTGTCCTTACCTTTTTTGGCCTGTTTTCATACTCCAGCTATAAGCTTTCATGATCATTTTGACTTTGGGAAAGAGCCACAAGTCACACAGTGCCAGGTTTGGGGAAGAAGGTGAATAAGGACACAACAGAATGTTTTTAGTAGCCAGCCTTTTTATTGGGTGGCACTTGGCAGCAGCATTCACTGAATTTTTGCCCAGCCTTTGTGAAGATACTCATGAAAGAGGACTTTCAGAACTGCTTTAAAAGGCGGCAAGAATAGAAGGCTAAGCATGTTTGAAGTCAGGGGAACTATTTTGTGACAGGTTAATGGTAATGTGTCTTTTCTTGTAATAATTTTCAAAACTTAGACATATACTGTGTATTTTGATGATGCCATGTGTGTTGAACTTTTCTTCTAGGCCTCTGTGATATAGGGTGTATTGATGTGAAATCAAAGATCTGATCTAAGTGAATTTCTCCAGCTGGGTTATACTTACCACTATAACTTGATTAACGTGGGAAACATTTTATGTCTTTTTTATTTCCTTTGAAATTTGAAATTAGTTTAAATGAATAGTTCTCAACTCTGACCATATACCAGAATCGCATATAGAGCTTTTTTCAAAATGCAAGTGCCTACACCCAAACCAGGTATGCTTAATCAGTACACCTGAAAAGGTAGGTTGGAGGCATGTATGTTTTTAAGAAATACCACTGGTGATTCTGATACATTTTCAGTATTGGAAACTATTTTGACTTCTAATAACTTTTTACCAAAAAGTCATAAACTGACCTGGTATAAGTACAAATAGACTTTAGCCTTTCGAGCATCTTATGTCCTTAAAACAGAATAAACTCAGAGAAAGAAACAGATCACACACAGTATAGTAGCACTTGCTTTTATTTTACTGGTTCCATTTATGAGTATTATATTCTGATAAACTTTGGTTGTTCTCCTTTCCTTCCTGGCATGTTAGGCAAGGCTCAGAGCATGCGTTAGGGTATGAATCTAATTTTGAAAATTTAAGGGATTTTTTTGGGATAAAATACCTCCAGCATTCTTCCTGTGCCCCTGGCTTTTGATATTTCCTACTACTTGGGAACATAGAGTAAACTATATCTTAGTATATCAAATATAATCATTTTCTTTAGTACTAGTGGTGAGACTATACTGAAGGCAAACTACATTCAAGCTTCTTTCTATAGTTTAACATGTAATAACTGTAGCTATAAAATTTCTTGTTGTCTGCTTAGGCAGACGCAGGGACTGGGGTTTGATCCCCAGTGTGCCATGCCAGCCCCGCCCCCCAGGGCATGCTGAGATGGCAATTGAGACTGGACATGGTGGCACGTGCCTGTAATCCCAGCACTTGGGAGGCTGAAAAACAGCAGGAGCACTATGAGTCTGATCTGTGTAGTGAGATTATGTAGACCCTGTACTAAATGCATTAAAAAATAATAACAAAAAAATTCTTGTTGTATGTGTTATGAGTCATCAGAGACAGAAGGAAATTAAGGACTTAGTTCTGTGTTACTTCTGTTTTTTCATTTTAAAGTTTCTCTTATTATAACATGTGATACATAGTAAATATGTTCATTGTGGGGTATTGTTGCATACAGATGTTACATCTTCATCCCTTTTACTTCTCCTTCCCCTTTCCTCTGTTCCATCTTCTCAGATTCTCTTCCCATGTCCATATTATCTGTCTCCATGTTTCTTGTCTTCAATCTTCTATTTTTCTGTTGAAATTATTTATATTTCAGTTTTCTCATATAAGAAAAATCATGTGATATTTGAACTTTTGTATCTGATTTATTTCACTCAGCACTGTGGTCTCAGGAGTCATCCATCTTCCTACAAATGACTGAAATGTATGGTTGAATTGTACTTTATAAATACACCAATTTTGTTTACCCATTTATCTGTTGATGGACATGTAGGTAGCTTCTGAGATGTAGCTATTGTGAGTTGTGCTGCTGTAAAAATGGTTATGCAAGTATTGCTGTAATATAATGTCTTTTATTCTTTTGGGAAGATGTCTATACTAACTTTTTTTTTTTTGCCGGAACCAGGGATTGAACTCAGTCCCTTGCACTTGCCAGGCAAGTGCTTATTCTACTGCACCATCTCCCTGATCCCATCTATACTAACTTCAATAGTAGTTACACTAGTTTACATTCTCACAAGCCACATAGAAGAGTTCCTTTTTCTCCCACAGTCTTGGCATCATTTGTTACTATTTGATTTATTGATGATAGCCATTCTTTCTGGAGTAAGATGAAATCTCAGCATTTTTTAATTTGCATTTCTTTCTAATAGCCAGAGGTGTTGAACATCTTTGCATGTATTCATAAGCCATTTGTACCTTTTCTGAAAATTATCTATTCATTGCAGTTGCCCATGTTTTGATAGGGCCTCACATTTTTAATTTTTTAAATTATTAAACCATTGAGTTTATTCCATGTGTATATTTTTGTTTCCTACTATCTGCATGTCTGACCACCTCTGCTATGATGTCCTATTGTAACATTCCATACATACATTAAACCGAACATAGGGTGGAGTTCCATCTTTGAAAACTAAACAGGCATTTTGGAGACACATTTTTGGCAATGGAACCTGGACAGTGTTTATCCAACATTGTAGGCAAAGTTCTTACTTTGCATTATAAAAAGGATAACCAAATATCAACAGTTACAGAAATTAACTAAGACAGGAAATTTTAATAACAGTTTTCTTAGAGACTTCCTCTAGTGCCAGAAATTTCAAATAGCCTTCTCGCCAGTTGTTTGAAAGCAGTTCTTCAAGTAATTGATGGATTTGGCTCCTACTTTGGGGAAAAGAGCCACCTTTTGCTTGCTTGCATTTTTGCTTTAATGTCTTGTATGGAGCTAGGTCTTTTGGGTGTTTTAGTTTTTTCCTGTGTTTTGAAATATTCTTGGTCTTTTGTCTTTGTGTTCATGGCTTTGAGAACTTTTCATTGTGGTTTGGTTTCTGTGTATTTTTTTTTTTTTCTGTGTATTTTTAGCTTAAGTGTCTCATACAGATCTCACTGGAGCTTTCTTTTTGTTTCCTCGTCACCACATTCATTGCCATCAGTCTTGTGTTTGTCTCCATCATCATCTTCAGCAGCAGCTGGTCTTACTCTTTTCCTGAGGGACCTTGCTGTCATTTCAAGGGCAGATCCCTTTCCAGACATCCTGCAGAGTGTTACTTTCTCTTCCTCTTGTGATGACTTTGCATCTTCCCCCCAGCTACTGAGTGCTGGCAGCTAAAATGCACAGGTCCTGAGCCACACTGCTACCTTAGGACACAGGCAGTGTATTTCTAAAGCCCCCAAGGGATACCATCAGCCATGCAGACATTTTCAAAGTTGCCTGTGTTACTTTACTTGGGCTACCTTTATAATTCACTGCCTCTGCTTGACAGTGTGAAATTCATCCTTTATACCACCCTCTGAACTGACTATTCTTAATGATAACTAGTGCTCATTTTCATCATTATCCATGTTAAATTAGTCATATTTGTTAGCCTTTAGTTTATAACTTATACAGTTCCAGATAGAATCAGGGTCTTCATAAAGAGTTATTTGGTTTTTGTACAACAATTATAAACTCACTTCACTAGTATTGTCCTAAAACGTGGAACAAATTCCATCGAAAAGATAGTTCAAGGCCTGAGAGTACATGTTCATGTCCATTGAATCTTTCATGGGGTGGTGGCATGGACTTAGGTGGAAAAGAATGCAAATAAAGGGACTGGTCTAATAGCTCAGTGGATTGAAGCTCCTGCAAGCAGGAGCAGGGGCTGGGGGTTTGATCCCAGGGCCTGCCATGCCAGCTTAGCCCCTGGAGTGTGCTGAGATGGCAGTGGAGACTGTATGTGGTGGTGCACGCCTGTAATCCCAGCACTTGGGAGGCTGTAAACAGGAGAATGACTGAGTCCGATCTAATAGTGAGACCCTGAACACCCTGTAGACCCTTCCCTAAAAAATAAAAATTAAAAAAATGCAAATAAAGATAAAGAACTACTGTTCTGCCTCTTTTATTGGGGGGGGGGTCCTGTTTTAAAGAAGAATTTTTTTTTTTTTTTTTTAGTTTTTTGTATGTTCTAGATATCCGTCCTCTGTGTAAGGAGTAGCTTATTCTGTAGGTGGTTTTCTTCGTTCTCTTACTTGTTTCCTTTGCTGTGTAGAAGCTTTTCAATTTGACGTGATCCCATGTGTTGATTTTCATTGTTATTTCTAATGTAACTGGGGTTCTGTTCAGAAAGTTTTTGTCTATGCTTCTGTCTTCAAGCATCTTACCTACTTCTGTTTCTGTTTTCTTATTTCTTGTTCCATTTTGATTTTACTTTAGTACATGGTGAATGATAGGGGTTTAGATTCAATCATTTTCACATACACAGCCAGTTTTCCCAGTACCATTTGCTAAAGAGGCTGTTTTCCTCAAGCCTTAACCTTTTGGCCCTTTCATCAAAGATCAGGTGACTGAATGTGCTTGAACTTATTTTTGAATTCTCTATTCTGTATTGTTGATCCACATGTCTATTTTTGTACTAGTATCATGCTGTTTTTTGTTTGTTTGGGTTTTTTTTTGGAACTGGGGATTGAACTCACGACCTTGTGCTTGCCAGAGAAGCACTTATTCTACTGAGCCATCTCCCCGGCCCCCTCATGCTGTTTTTATCACTGTAGCTTTGTAATATAACTTGAAATTCACTTTGCGCTCATTGCCCCAGATTGTTTTTGCTATTCTGAGTCTTTTCTGGTTCCGTATAAATTTCAGGATTTTTTTTTTTTTCTAGCTTTGTGAAGAATGCTAGGTGCTTTGATTGGGATTGTGTTAAATCTATATATCATTTTGGTAAAATGGCCCTTTTGATGATACTAGTCTGTTTTTCCTGAAATGGACTGTTTTCATTTTATGTCCTCTTTGATCTTTTCTTTTCTTTTTTTTTTAGAGTACTATTGTTTTCATTAGAGGTCTTTCACTTCTTTCTTTCTTTTTTTTTTTTGGCGGAACTGGGGATTGAACTCAGGCCCTTGTGCTTGCCAGGCAAGCACTTATTGTACTGAGCTATCACCCCGGCCCCTACACTTCCTTATTTAGATTCATTTGGAGGTATTTAATTTATAAATGTGTACTTTTATATAGTCTTACAGTCTGTATCCTGGGTCTGTAACCTTGAGTCCATGGGGTAGGAGGTGGCTAAGAATAGGGCTGCACAGCAAGTGGTGGGTGGCACATGAGCTAGGAAGAGTCATCTCTGTAGACACCCTTGTGTTGGGCTTGGATCATCCTGCAGTCATACATTACCACCCCACCATCACACACCTGTCAGGGAAAAAACTATCAGAAACCAGTCGCTGGTGGTGAAAAGGTTGGGGATTGCTGATCTGTATCAGAAGAATAGTTTACTTCCTTGGGAAATTCTCTGAGAACAGAATTTTAATGATTTAACTACTTTACTTTAGCGTCAGAAGCAGTACCTGAGACACAAAAGGCTTTTTATGGATATTGAAAGAAAACAAGTAAAAGAACAAAAACGGCAAAAGGAACAGCAAAAGAAGAAAATTGAAAAGTAAGTTTTTGATCTTCATTCAGAGTCTTAAATGAGCAGTTAAGATGTTTTTGGAAGTGAGATCTAAGAAATAACTCACTGCATACTGGGAGTGTAGCTCAATGCACAGCCTGTGCTTAGCGTGCACAAGTCAAAGATCAGTCTTCAATCTTCAGGCATTTTTCTCCCCCAAGGAAAAAAAAAAAGGAAGTAATCCAGCAATGGTTTTGCCTTTTGATCCACACTGGTAACAACTTTTTTTTTTTGGTACTAGGGATTGAACCCAGGACTTCGCGTCTGCCAGGCAGGCCCTTATACCGATGAGCTATGTCCCCAGCCCAGTAACTATTTTTGAACTGAGTAGAATATTAAAAATGGTGAGCAATTTTTTTCAGTGGTTTCTTTTTTTTTTTTCCTAATGCTCCTTTTTTTTTTTTTTTTTTTTTTTTCTACATCAGTTGGACGTTTACAGCCAAAGTGAACAGAAATAATTTTTCCCCGCACATGCATACTTTCTGCTTCTGGCATAGTCTGTTACACCTAATAAACCTATATTTGCCACATTGTTACCCAAAATCCATAAGATTCATTCTTGGTGTTATATATTACATATTTTTTATAAATACTGTATATAATGATATGTGTTCAGATGTCATACAGAATAGTTTCACTAACCTAAAAATGCTGTGTGTGCTCCCAGTTTGTCCCTCTCTAACCCTGGGCACTGTCTCCATGTTTTTCATTTTCCAGAATTACATAGTTGGAATCATATAGCTTGTATGTATGTAATCTTTTGAAAATGGTTTCCTATAATTCCTTTTAGCCTTAAGCAGAGTCAGAGTGAAAAAATTAATAGTGTTATTTCTGCCAAGTTTTTAATTTATAGGCACCTTCATAAATTACTTTCTTTGGTGCTTTTCAACAGTAAAGTCCATAAAAGAACATTCTACATGCCAGTCATCATATTATCTGCCCTGAATATAAAACTTGAATGTGTAATAGCATAGTTGTTTATAGCATGAATTTAAAACCAAATGAACTTAAGTTTGGGTGTATTACTTACTGACTATAATTTTTTTCCCCATAATTTTATTGATAAACAAATAGCAATGAGACAGTTTCAAACCAAATTGGTAGGACAGTTTCAATAATTAACAAATTGCATACATTCTTCCTAGTGCTTAATTGCTGTACAAGATGCGGACATGATAACCTATTTACAAACACCATTAGAACAAAACTATATAACCTAACCACTTTGAATACACAGATACAAAATGGACATTCATCTGTATCCCCTTTTTTTGTTAAGTTCTGTTATTTGAATATTATAGGTGTGTAAACTATTCTAATATTCTAAAAGAGAGCAAAATATTCTAAAAGAGTCCAGTACCTGATAATAGTATTGGGTCTTGTGCTTGATTGGCAATGTCAGAAATTGTTGACCCGAGTCCCCTGCAGCTCAACATAACAGCATGGCTTTACTTCTTATATTTCGTTTTTGTACTTTTCTGCTAGATGGTTAAGACCAAGGTAAAGCAGGACCTATGCAACAAGAGTTGTAGCTTTTGGGTCTGAGAAGGTCAGTGAAATCCCCTCAGGATTTATCCTGAGATCCTGTACCTTTGTAGAACCTTTGTCAGTGTCAGCTATGTGGATGAGTCACGGCCATTGCTTGGCCAATGTGCTCTCTGTGAAAGCCTGAGAGAATGTTTTCTCTCCATGTGACTCTCCTTAGGCACATTCTACATCATCGATCACTTTCCTCTTTGGCCCCATAATCTTCTTGATCAGAAAATTTGGGACACTACCGAGTTATATGACATTATAGTACAACGTCTCATATGTCCTGGATCTTAATTGACCTTGGAAGGCTAGGGCCAAAATGTTGGCTGTTCTTGGTCTGCCAGCTTAGGTTGTTAACCATCCAGAAGACAAGCTTATTGTTATTACCATACAACTTAGGCTGCTAAGCTTAACCTCACTGTCTGTCTGAATATCAAACATCTTTAGGCATAACATGGAACAGGTATTTTTCATCAAGTATTGATATGTTGAACTTTAAGTCCCTACAGAATATGATGAAAAAACATTTAAAAATTAGAATATATTTTAAAAATAGGCATAAAGCATTATATACTTCTTATGTTTACACGTAAGTCCAAAAATCTAACCATATACAACCTTGAAGCAGGACAGTTACTGACTATAATTTTAAGCCTCAATATCCTTAATTATAAAGTGGGGATTATAATTATCTTTGTATTTGAGCACCAAAAGAGAATAGACAATTGGAGAAAAGGACACAAAAAATAATTATTACAATGCTAAAAGTGAGGGTAGAGATCATCAAAGTGTATCAAGAAGCTTTTCTTAAAGGATGAATTAGAGTTTGCCAAATGGCAAAGTTAGTATGAAAGCATGAGATATGTTTGAGAAGTAATGTAAAAAGTTGGGACGCCTAAACTTTAGTGAGAGTGAAATGGCAGGGAAGCTATAACAAAGTTATTGGAATATTTAAGGCAGAAGTCTTATGATCTGATGTGTGCCTTACAAAGGTTTCTTATAGCAGAGTAACAGTATGAAAATAGAAAAGTAAAACATGATGCCCTGTTATTATATTCAATAATATTTTTAAAATCTATACAAATTAATGACTAGTTGGTTTTTTGTTTGGTTGGCTGGGGTTGTTTTTTTGGTTGTTTATTTGTTTTTGAGACAGAGTCTTGATATTCTGGGCTGGCCTTAAACTTACTGTGATGCCTAGGCTGGCCTCAAACTCCCAGCAATCTTCCTCTCCCCTCTCCCTGCAGTACTGGGATTACAGGTGTGCTCAGCCTCTCCCTGCTGACTAGTTGGGTTTAGTGTTAAGAGAAGAGTCAAAAGCAGTTTCCACCTTTCTCCTCAAATAATTGAATGTATGTCAATACCATTAATTAGGAATACCCTAAGAACAGATGTAGAAATAAGCTAGTACGTTTATTCTGGAGTGAGTTTCAGAAGCCTATGGAACATCTCCTCGCTGACTTAATGCACATTTGAAAATAACTAGAGTTCTGGGAAAATGGGAGCTAAGATTGTTTTCACTACATAGTTCAACATGAATTGGGGCTGTTACAGGGCTGGTGTTTCGGGACAAAAAACCATGCAGAATGTTTGGTGTTCTTAAGGCCTGGAAGTAACAAAAATGAAGACTTGAGGTGTCTCCAACACTTGGTCAGTTTTCCCAAGATATTTGCTAAAGTTGGAAGTTGAAAGAGTAAATAGAAACCCTTTTTTGGAAAGTAAGTTAAGTATCTGTTAGTCTGTGGTGCTGAGGAAATGTAGAGTTCAGAACCCCAGGACTAGCTGAGGGGGGAAAGGCCAGGGACACGTGCCATCCTCTAGCTTACAGCCCTGGTGAGGATATATTCCAAATTTGATCCAGCTGGCTGTAGGATAAGCCTGGCCAAACTGCACAGCAGCTTGGATTTCGCTGACTTCCTGACTAGGTGAAGTTGAAGCTCGCACTGTGGCTGGCAGAGAAAGGTCTGAACTCTCTTCAGCTATAGATAACGTCATTTAGGGCCTCTAGACTTTTTAAAAAATAGCATTAAGCATGCAACCAAAATTTTCAAAGTATGTCAAAAAACAGGGCCAGTGACCAAAAATCAAGAGAAAGAATAGAGAGCAGAAGCAGTCATGGGTGACACAGATACTGGTATTCACAGAAAAGGAATTTAAAATGATTCATTAATATTTTCAAGTAAACAGAGGAAACAATAGAGAAAAGGTGAAAATTGGGGAATTGCAGTAGAGAATTTGAATCTATAAATAGAAAATCAAATTGAAAAAAAATCTTGAAAGAAAAAACAAAATGAGCAGTCTCATATATGCAGTGAGATACCACCTTAGAATCGATAGAATAATGAGGAGGAAAAGACAACAAACCTAATGGAGCCAGAGATTAGCAAAGATAGAATAACTGTAGCTCTTGTGTTGTTGCTGTAAGTAGAGAAGAGCATAACCTCTTTGGGAACCTGTTTAATGTATTATGTAATAGGGCCAGGTATGTAGCTCAGTGGCACAGCGCCTGCCTGGCAAGTACAAGGTCCTGAGTTCAATTCCTGGTACCAAAAAAGATAAGATAAGATAAGATAAGATAAGATAAGATAAGATAA